ATGAAAAGCCCTGATTTGATATTCTGAAGATGACAAAGGACAGCAGAAATATTCTCTTGCCTTCCATAGTGAAAGTGGAATGGTGCAAGTATCAAAGACAGCATCTAAACCTCCTCTGAAGTCAGAGTTGGAGACCAGCAGGGCAGCTCCCCCTATGGTGACACATATCCAACAACCCTGAGGTGACCTTTTTACCTGATCTAAAGGAACTCCTGATGTTTCCTGTTGAGCATGGGAACACCTTGGAAATGGGAGGACCAGAGCTCCCCCACCAGCTCCATAGAATTCTTTGTAATATGATGAGTCTAATCCCCAGGAACAAATCTTATCTGGGTCACAGAAATCCAACAAGTAAAGGGACAAGACTGACAAATGCACCCTTTGTTGGAAGTGGGTCCTGCAAGGAGAAGAGGAGATTCCCAACCACTTTTGCTTTCAAGTGGTTCAACAGCAGGTAGACACACTGGCTGATTTATTTACTGTGCTCTGGGACCATGAAGAAACTCAGTTGGGTTGATTTTCCAGTGAAATGCAGTGGAGCAGGCTGGGTTAAGCTTCCTGAGGGGCAGAGTCTGGGCCCTCCCTCTGTAAGATCTCTTAGGCCACCCTAAGGCTCTGAACCAAAGGAAAGGGAGAAAAGGATGGGGAAGGGGAACCCACCCCCTCAGCAAATGCTGGGAGACACACACATTTCTCAGAGGAACTGTTGGTCTTTTATCATGGAGCCAGCCCCACCTACAAGGCTGAGGAACATATTTACATATTTCAACTCTATTGCTGGCTAGAGCACTACAGAAAGTGATGATTTCAAGACATCCAGGGAAGAAAAATGTTCTTGGAAAAAGATAGGCCTATCAGTTCAGCAGAACAACTCAGAGTTATGCAAATCCCTGCTTGAGGTTTGTTTTTCATCCTACCTTCTTCCTCCACCTCAGTTCCTAAGGCTGTAAGGGACTGCAAAGTTAACAGCCGGATTCTGATTCTGGTTAAAAACATGTAGACAACACAGTTTACCATACTGCTTTTCATGTATGACAGAAGCCTGGTAAAGTACATGCCTTTGACTCTGCAATCAAACTTTCCAGGAATTTTTCTCAAGGAAATAGTAACTTTTTATAGAATGTACAAGGGTGATTACTGTAAGTCAAAAAATGGTATGGGTTAAAAAGTATGCCATATTAAAACATTGAGGTTCTAGCTAGTCATTAAAAATGTTGCCATTGGGGAGAAATTTATAATGTATATAGAAATTTGCATGCTTTATCAATTAAATAAAAAAGAAGCATTCAAAATACTATGATCTTATTTTTCTTTTTTCCCATGTCCTTAAGGAATTTATGGTCTTGTTTGAAGAACATATATAATTATACCCAAACAATTACATATATATAAATGTGATAAGTGCTGTACAAAACTAGGTAAGCTAAATCCCATTTTAATAACAATCCATGAGTCTATATTCAACAAAGATACGATCTCATTTTTCTACATTCATAAAGAAAAGTCATGATACAATCCAAAATGTTGCAAAACTTATTTTTCTTTTGCTTTTTACTCTCTATTGTCTGAGTTACTACAGTGACCATGTACTGCTTGGGTAATTAGAATAAAGAGCAATAGATTGTTTCACTTGATATTTTCCTTATGGAGGATTGTAAGTTCAGGCACCCAGGTTTTCTTTGCTCCCTGGGATCTGGGGCATGTTTCTTTCAAAGTAGCTCCCACAGCTGTCTGCCAGTACAAAGCAAAGATGGAGTGATTCAGCTTTCAGCTACAATAAGCCAGACTGATAGACCATGTAAGAAGGCAGGTAAAAATTGGCCCCTTAGATCTAAAATTGATGTTGATTTACCCTGCTAGGCCCTTGAAATCAAATCTGCAAGGAGGTGATTTAAATCCCATTGTTCTTTTGTTTCACTTTTAAGATTAATGGATGTGGGAGAAAGTACTGGAACTGGAACAACCCTAGGCTTGAGGTGAGCAGAGAAGCTGTCTGTTAGAATAGGACAGGCCTCTGAGCACTCTGGTGAGGACAAGCACAACTGTGTTTTTACAGAATCACATTTTCCTTCAGCCTCTTATCACAGTTCAAGAGTGAGAACTGGCATCTTAAATTGAATGTCTTGCTCTTGTGGACCAATCATCTTTATCTTTAATTCCTAATCACCTTCCTTCCCATAGTTGTAACTTTTGATCTGGAAATATTGGGTTATGTAACATGCCAATCTGCACAAGACTGTAATTCTGTCAGAAAAAGGGACCCTACGAAGCACAAATTCTAACAAAACTAGAAATGACTTTTCTAAGAAAAGAGATGATATTTTTGTTTCAAGAATTCGAAGCTCATTTTAAATAGACTTTGGATGCAATGTTGCTGGTTCTTTGAGGGCTGTTGGTTTCCCTGCCCAACCTCACCAAACTAACCTGCAATGTTGCACAGGAATGAAAGAAGTGGAAGGGAATGATCATCTGTGAGGTACCCAAAGCTGTGTGGATATTAATCCCTGCAGTGTTGTAAACTAGGTGATATTGTTCCATTTTACAGGGGAGAGGACTGAGGTGCCCAAAGTAACTTGCCTAAGGCCTAACTCAGTAAGTTAAGGGGCTTTAGTCACTTCCTACCAATTTATAACCCCCAGAACAACAAAAGATCGAAGAGATCATACCAAATAGAATCAGACTACTGGAGGAGAGTCCTTGAAAATAAAAATTTCCCACTGCCATAATGCCCATCCTTCTGCTGGAACATCTACAAGGTGGGGATCTTTCCACTCACTGTACAGCTCCCCTAGTTCCTCTTTAGGCTTCCCACTGGTTCTGATCCCAGGGCAAGGGCTGATCCCTCCACCCCCAGCCCATTAGGTGGGTTATCTGCTTACTGCCCTCATTCTATCTTCACCCACAAAGAGAAGCCTTGATAAGAATAAGATATTGGCAGGCAAAGGATCTGAGAAAATTCTCTAGAAAACAGAACCTCTCACCCTTGATACCTTCCCCAGCCCCAGAAGATGGTGATTTCACGAGCATCCTACCCCAACTCACTTAAATATGCAGGGTGGAAACAGAAGCATTCCTAAACCCGCCCCCTAAAACTACAGGAACATCTAAGTCCCAAGTCCTGCCAGAAAGACGTGGGGATGTTCAATTCCACCATTCACAAGGACCTACTGCAGGCAGGGCACCGAGAGCAGTCGTGAGGCTGCGACTGGTCTAATCCTACTAGTTAGACGGGCTTCCCATCATTGCCCTCACCAGAGAAAACAATTCTTTCTCATCTTCCCTCTAACACCTAGAAATAGGGAATCCCGTTTTTGCGTTCTGTCTAACCTCTCACAAACCTCCCCTCTCCTCTCCAACGCGCGTGCGCAGAAAACTTGCTCCTACTGCCACCACCTGTGAAAACACCCCTCCTAACTTTGGCAGAGAGAGCTCTGGGGTAAAGACAAGCGGCAGGACGCCCAGAGCGCGCCAGGGTTCTCGAAGAAAGGGGTCGGGTAGCTTTGAGTAAAACGTGCGGTGGGGACCCCAGACCTGCGTCTCTCGGGGCTGGAACATGGTCGTCTCAGCTCGGGTTTTCAGCCCAGGCCCCGCCCACTAGGCAGCCCCCCAGGTTCGGACAACGGCTCTGGCCACCGAGGAGCCCAAGGACCCCGACGACCATCCCACACTGGCGGAGAACGCGATCCTGGCCCCCGGGAGACTGCAAGTGGCTGGCGGGGAGGAGGGCCACGTGGGGCCATCGCCAGGGCTGGGGAGCCGGGATGTGCAAGCCCAGCGCGCTGGGAAACAGGTTGCTGCCGAGTCCATCTCCTCCCTCTCGCCGCCCTACCGCGACCCGATTCCCGCCCTGCCCGGGTGCGAACCCAGCTGCCTGCGGGAGCCCTGCTCGTTGGACCCCCGGGTCCCAACCAGGGCCCCTCGGGCAGACTGGATAAAGGCGCCTTCAGCAAGGTCAAGGCGCGGCCGGCCGGCACCTGGGGAATTTTCCCAGTCAAGCATTGGCTCTGCAATCGCATTGTTAAGGATCATGGCAGAGGCAGGAAATCCGAACGGCCCCACCGGTCTGCGCGAGGGAGGATTTATTTTACAGCGCCAAACACACTCAGACCCTGGATTTCAGGGGGGAGGGGATGTGGTGTTTCAGGACTCTGGAATGTGGCAAAAACAAAACACTCCCCACCCAAACACGTCATCTACTGACTTCGCGGGGTAGGTAGTTCAGGGCCACTGAACCCCAGACTCTAGCGTTCCGCAGAGATCGGGGCTGGGTGGCTTACAGTTCCAAAGGCAAAAAACAAGATTTTAACACACTACTACCGTGGTTTCTCTATCAAAGCCCATCAACGTGCTACAGGCTGAGGCTGCGAAAAAAGGGGAAGAGAGATGGGGAAAATAAACGCAATAGAAGCAAACTGCTCTCCGCGGAGGGGAAAGCCAGGGGGTGGGTGGAAGCCATACCAGCACCCAGCTCCATTCTATACCCAAGAGAGCCGGGCCAGCCCAGGAAACCAGGAAAAGGTGCATCATGGTGGCCGTCCCCAGTAGAGGCCAGCGCTCTACTCACCCCTACCCCTGGCTAAACCGGGCCTGGATGGCTGGGACGCCTGGGCATCTCCAAGAGGGACCTGACATCGCGGGCAGGTCTCTAAACACGTGAAGGGCGCAGCGTGTGAAAGAGGGGGAAGGGAGCCCAAAGCCAAGGAGAGAATCTTTGGGGCTCCCCAGAACACAGTCGTTTTCCTAAAACGCTGTTCCCTGGAAGGCCTTCCACCACTTCTGAGGGGAGGAGATGGGGGCTCTGAGGACTGAAGGAAACCTAAGTTCTCACTGCTCCTCCTCTCAGATCAGTCCTGGATCCCCAGCCATTCAGTCCCAGCCTCAGAAACCGCTTCTTTGGGGGCCTGAGCATCAGCCCCCAACGCCCATCACAGCAATAAGTGGGCGCCGGGTATTAGATGTCCCCAGCTCTCCACTCTGAAGTAGAAGCGCAATGTACTTACATTCCCCAAGCAGGAAAACTTTCAGGCTTGTCTTCCAACAGCCCGGTGTTGGTATCACAGTTCTGGGTAATCACCGAGGCAGCTTATATAATTGTCCGCGATGCCTGGGCAGATCTCGCGCGGTGCGGGGTCGCAGAGCTCAACACATGGGCACCCTCTGGCCCTGGCGCTCGGGATCGAAAGCTGCCCCCACCGGCGCCTCCTACAAAGCGGCAGGGCAACCTCCTGAGCTAGTTAAATGCCAAGTGTGTACGCAGGTTCCTGCAAAACCTCAGCTGCTTTCCTGCGCTCCTTTTGCTGCGTTGGTGGCTTACGGTTAACTGCATCTCTACGAACCTTCTCGCCAGGGCTGGGGGTGGGGGTGGGGGACTGGGTGGGCGATTGGTGCAGTTTTGGTGAAGGCTCTTGGCACCCAGCTGGGCAGTTACACTCTCACCCACGGGGACCTGGGTGTAGAAATCGCCTTAACGTCTCGCCGGGAAAGAAGAGCCAATTTCCAAAGTTAGAGACCACGCAGTTGAATTTCCAGTACTTTCCAACCTCGCCTAGACTAGGGTAGGGCAGAGAAGGGGCAAGCATTGGCCAGGGAAGCCCATTCTACCGACCCGCCAAGGACTCACTATTTGACCCCCTCCACAAGCGCACACACACCCTTCTTCCAAGTAGTTGGCCATGTATTCCTTGGTTGCATGTACACACACACACACACACACACACACACACACACACACGCACGCACACATTCCGTGCCACTACCTTCCCGAATGCTGCTCCAATATAAAGACTGCATTGGCCAGGGAAGCCCATTCTACCGACCCGCCAAGGACTCACTATTTGACCCCCTCCACAAGCGCACACACACCCTTCTTCCAAGTAGTTGG